TTACAAATTTTTTGTGACTCCAGTAGTTTCTGAGATAAGTATATGGGTCACCTTACGTGGACCACCCTGTACATATGTTTGTGTGTTAACACATACCTACTTACAACTCGGCAAAAATATAAATTTAAAATAACTATTAATACATAATTTATATTTTTTTAAATTTATTTTACTTAAACAACTAGTAATTATTAATTAATAATTGTAATTATTAATAAATGCGTAAAATATTGTGTGGTGTGACGTGGCAAAGCTAGCGTATGTAGATCATTCAAGGTAAAGATTATAAGTTGGTTAAGTGGTCTCTTGGCTAGCGTATTCGTCCATGAATCGACAAGTCCGCGGTTCAAACCCCAGCGAATATAAAATATTTTATCCACGACTACCTTATAATATATACTTTATAAATGAGTTTTCTAAAGCAAAATGATAGTCATATTTCACAGAGTGAATAATAGCAGTGAATAATCATTATTCACTGGTCTAGAGTTCCTATAGGACACACGATATAGATTGTATCTGGCAAGCACTTATCAGTTCGTCTAGGCAATTATAGCCAGGCACTTTAATTAGCTAACTTTATACCAATCATAAAAGTCTTGTTAAAGTATTACTTTAATATGTTTTTTTAATGCAATTGAATAAAAATTTAACATTAAGTAGACTATTTCAAGTAAGTAAGCCATTGACATGACATGACAAGCTTAGCATAAATTGCTGTCAATTTGAAACGTCATAAGTTCGATCCAGCACACGATTTTTGTTACAAATTATTATTAAGCTTAAATTATACATAAAAAATCAAAGCGTGGAAGATGAAGAGATGTTACGCACTCAACAAAACATCACAGAAGTCACTTTTCGAAATACAAATTACCTAAAAAATCACATTCATTGGAAATAAAATACTGCATAATCTATAAATAATAGAATTATCAAGTAGGTAGTAAGCCATGTAATCAACTGACAACTAATAATTATTTGAAACGTCAAATTTTAACGACGCGGTGGTGCAATAATAATTCCTGTTAAAATTATAATTTGCTTTCAAAAATACGTTAACAATGGAAATTGATAGTGAGGAAGAGATATTGTGTACTCCACCGGAGATAACAGAAGCTGCAAAAGTCACTTCCCTGAATTTGTTGCCTGAGAAATCCCGAAATTTGTACGTATCTGTGTACAACACCTTTATGGACTGGAGAGCGACCAAGAAAATTAATTCATTCTCAGAGTCAGTTTTACTGGTATATTTTATATATATATTACAATTAATATAAATAAATAGTTTTAAAAATAGTCACAGGCATCTTTAATTTTTGGTTTTGTTAATGTCAAATAGGTTATACTAAATATAAAGTTTTTTGCATTACAATCCGTTAAAAGTCAATAGTAGTCGTGGACAAAGCATAGTATTCTACTCACATATAATGAGCTATTATTCACTCAAGTTAATTATGTCACTCGCTACGCTCGTGACATAAACTTAACCTTCGTGAATAATAGCCCTCATTATATGCTCGTATAATAATATACTATTTTAATTTTTCATATTACGTCATCACATCGTCATAATCACGTGACATAGATTTAAGAGATAAAATCTAGTTAAACAGTAGTACCAACCAAATTTTATTTACTACCAACCTAAGATTTGAGAGATAAACCAGGACCTCGAAGGTCCTTATCTTTCAGTAAAAGGACCCTCTGGTCATTGACCTTCAGTAGCCGAAGACATCCTGAAAAGGACTTCTTCGGCACTGAAAATCCTGAAAATCCATCTGAAGACCTTCTGGGCATTGTCTTCAACAGCAGAATGGTAACACATGCCATCCAGTTTGAGTCAGGAACCCGCCTTCTACACTACTGATGCATCAGACATATCAGAATCTTATTTGGCTGAATTTTTTGTTTGTGGTCTTTAGCAAAGTCTTCTTCGCTAAATAAACTAATTCTGTTACATTTTTGGTAGGTGGGCTAGAATCAAACTTTTGAGAAAGACCACGGCTTTCTTTCTTTTTTCAATTTTTTTGGTAGTTAGTTATCTACACTAGCTTTTCGAATTTTTTCTTTGATTCCTTTGATCCCTTAAAAATCTTGTTCTAACAAGGACACTTTGCAGATTTGTTTGCAATTGCAAGATTTAAAATCAAAGCATTTGCAGAAAGAAATAAAAAAAAAATTTAACAACTTAAAATTGTCCACCTTCCTTAGGATAAATGAGGTTTTGTTTTATTATATTTTTGAATTTATGCTAATTTCATTGCTATTACGCGTTTGAGCCAATATTGGTAGTGAAGCACGTTTCCATATATTGTATATTTTATTTGCAATTTCTCATTCAGGCGGTTGCTTCCTCGAATTTTCCTTAACTTGCTATCTTGGGAATAAATAACAACGGAACACATAAGTTGGTAAACAACTTTCAGAAGCCAGAACGCAGGCAGTACCAAATACTATAAAAGTGCTTTCCTGGTTAAGACTTCATCTATGCCAAATTCAAAATTTAAATTTGAATACAAATTGTTTAGCCCCCTGGAGCGCTACTAAAACATTTTATTCTGCTTAATCTTGTTTATTAATTACTTCATAGAATTTATTTAAGAATTTGTACAAGCGCCAGGGATAAAATGAGCGTAACTACCAATTCTAACATGACAGATGGTTTAGGGGCTGTCTTGAAATGTTAACACAATAAAAAATATAGATGAGCTTTACTAAATTTTATTAAAATCGGACAAAAATTATTCTTATATGCCAATTTTATTTCGTTAACAATATGATTTTCAACCGTTGGAAAATTTTTATTTAATGTATCATCTTATTATTATATTTAATAAAACTAATCCACACATTATTTAAATGTTTGATAAGTAAAGGCCCAGTTAAATTTACATCATTCAACTTATCATGTCCACATAACTATAAACATTATACTTGCGATGTTAAAAGATCCACGAATTCACATTCGTCACATTATTGCAGCAAAGGTAATTTCTTTATATTTGTCTTTTAAGTAGGAACAAAACGAAATTGCCGTTCAGATATTTACTGCAGCCTGACTTATTTTCCGGTTATTTTTGTACGTTTGATGGTGACGAAATACTTATATACAGGGTGTTCCAAAATCACCGCACCCAACAAAAAAGGGTCGATTCCTTGCGAAAATCTAAGATTAAATTTCATTTACCATGTTTAAAGCCACTTAGCGAAGTGTTTCTGCTCTATAGAACGAGTTTTTGTTATATTTTTTGTGTTTGCAAAACAAGCTGAAATTTTAACACTGAAAAAAAGTAAACAAAAATAAATTCGGTGCCGGTTGTCCCCACGCATTAGTGGCTTTAAAAATTAAATAACTTCTGCAATTTTGTGAGTTCTAAAAATGGTAAAGGACATTTTGTCTTCGTCTTCGCAAGGAATCGACCCCTTTCGTTTGGTCGGATAATTTTAGGACACCCTGTACAATCGAAACAGTCTGTTGGGTGCTGTTAACTATCTGGCAAAGGAATTTTTCAAGCTTAGCTGATAAAAACAGAACCGTTTAAATCGCTCGACAGATATCTAAACAAATTTGTTGAAAACATGTCAATAAACTTATTGAATTTAAATTTTACTAAAGGTAACTTTCGACAGTTCAATAAACTTTTACCAATTGGACATAAGAATCCATGACGACCTGAAGTTTTTTTAAAAAGTTACGAAATGGTATTTCATTTGTATGCAATGGTCGTTTAAGTATTTCTTTGATTCATCGGATTATGTCAGCATTTCTCTTGTATTTGGTGAATAGCCAAGACAACCAAGGCACTTAAATTCCGATTAACTGATATTATTTTTGGACAGATATACCCAAATCGCATTTATATTATCTACCGCTTTTTCGGAAGATGGGTTGACATAAGCAATATATTTGGATTCAGGTGCTTGAATTAATAACAGGTAATCTTGCTGCTTCCCACGATGCATTTTTTCATCTTCAATTTTTTCAATATAATATAATGTTTCGTCTATTCTACCATTAAAGCAATCAAACTAACTAAATAATTTTCTTATTGTATTAGACAAAGCTATTTCTCTCTTGTCTAACTTTTTTGTCCAACATAAGATATACCGACTTACAGGTAGACGCATGCGTGCACCTAATTAAGAACTGTGTAGTACGATATCATGCAACACTGCTAAGTCAATGTAGCTGCTGGTCGATCTGGTATAAATAGCGCTACAAAATATGCGGTATTTAATAAAACATTAGCTCGATTGCAAAGACTCAGGGCGTTATTAAATTAATGTGATTTTTGTATATGATGTAACAAAGGTCTTAGCAACCTTTAAGCCTTACCCATACTTAGTATATTAACTTGGCTTCATTCAATCTTTAGTCCAAGACCAAGTTTTTTTTGAAAAAAAAATCAAATTTTCATTCCACTTGCGCAATCCAGATATTTTTTCTAAATTAAGATTTTGCAGAGTTGTTACTAAAGTAACCTGACCCCTGATTTTTTTTTGTACTATATTTCTGCGACCGCGGCGTTTTTTAAGACTGTTGCAGAAAGCATTTGGCGATAATTGTCCAAACTTCGGGCATACAAATGTAAAAAAGAGGCGCAGAATGGTTTAAGACATGCCGCGTTCTGGATAGCCATCTAATCAAGACAACGTCGATAAAGTGAAGAAAATTATAATAAAAAATATGATTTAAATATGTTGTTTTATGAAAATCATCCGTACATCTCACACGTTTCTGCTTGACTCGTGCTGAAAAAGTTAGCTTTAAAAACAATACACCTAGCATTTAAAAATGATTATTAAAAGTAGGTAAGGTATTTTTGACCGTGGTCGAATTTTTTGATTGGGTCAAACGGGTTTGTACAGTCTTTAGCCGATTGGTTTAAATAATTTTTCCAGCTTAGGCGATAATCAATGTCTTTAGTAGTAAGTGTTGACAAAAAAATATATATTTCCTTAAACAGAATTTATTAATCCAAAATAACATATTTTAGTGCCTCCCAGGTGGACAGTAGAACCATTAGATTCTAATGTGGCAGCTAGTCAGGAGACAATATTACATTGTCAAGCAGATGGTTATCCAAAACCTGTGATAACTTGGAAAAAGGCTATAGGTAAGCAAAACTATAAACGTTTGGGGTAAAAATGGGTAATGTAGTGCATGGGATAATGTAGTAGAGTTATATTAATATCTCATGGCGGTTGACCTTGCGAGACGCTATACTATTATAACAAATATAATAGAAAGCCTCTAAATATGTCAATAAATATCAGCATTGTCAACCCTTTGTAGTATGTTTTTGGATCGGAGAGTAATAGCGCGATTTGACGGATTTGAAAGTTTTGTGCACCCAAGGTCATCCGCCCTGAGATATTAATAGCACTCTACACGGCTCTACCGACTACCCACATAACATGCTATGGATATGGATATTTTATGGATATACTTGATATATTATTTTATGTATATCCATTTGTGAATATTTTATGGATATACTGAATATATTTTTTCATGTATATCCATAAAATGTCCATAAATGAATGTACTTGATACATTCTTTCATGTATATCCATTTATGGATATTTTATAGACATACTTTGTATAACTTTTATACAGGGATGGTAATGTGCTCTTAGGCCGTTTAATAAATAAAGACAAATGCATTATGAGACGTAGGAGTGGTGGAGTGACGTAAGAGTAGTGGGGCAGGCCAGACCGCGCCTCGCCAGGGCTGGATGCTCCCGTGTACGAGTTTTGATTCATGCCGCGCATGACGCCACTTGATGAGTAGTTGCCGTGCGAATACACGTATAATAGTAATATTATCAAAAAACATAGAGAAATATCTGGACATAGTGCGTTTTTATTAAACTTACCCACATAACAAGAAAATATACATAGGATATACATAGGATATACATCTATGCATATTCGTATATTCGCGAATATCGTATGGATATACCATGGATATTAGGGTGTCCCTTATTTTTATTTTTTTTACGCATACCCTCTAATTATATTTATTACGTGTTTATATACTACCAGTAAAAATTTCAGCTCATTCTATAAACGGGAACCCGTGCCGACTTGCATCTGAACCCTCCGTTAGCCACGGTCGCGAGGCCTTCGATCTTAAGTAATTTTGTGTTTGTTATTATGTGACCCTTATATTATAAATTATTGACAAATGTTAAAATATAGTTTTATTTATGTGTATACTTTGATAAAAATGTATATTTTCACAGGGAGTGGCTACTTACCCGGAAGGGTCTGCTGAATAGGCCGTAAACTCTGAAATTGATAAACTTAATGGGTTTTACTCTAAATAACTAAAAGAGTCTATTGTGAGAGATGACTACCGAAAACTTATTGAACTGTCTGAAATATTTTTGGGAGGACATCAAGAAAAGAAATGCTTATAAAAAGCTGAAATTTCATATAACAGTATATTTTAGCAATACTAATTAGTATATTAATATATTTAAGGGATAAAATCAACTAAATTAGTGAAACAAATGATAGAAACAAAAGCAATAATATTAATTAGTAATCATATTTAATAAAATCATTGGAAAAATACAGTCATGAAGTATATCTTCTTTTTAAAGTGTTTCGTGTTACAAAATACCGCGCGCGCCTAACGTTGGCTAACGATCGTTAGCCAACCCTCGAGGGTTTAGATGCAAGTCGGCACGGGTTCCCGTTTATAGAATGAGCTGAAATTTTTACTGGGAGTATATAAACAAGTAATAAATATAATTAGAGGGTATGCGTAAAAAAAATAAAAATAAGGGACACCCTAATGGATATCCATAAAATATGATTTTGTCCTCTATTTGGATATCCATAGTATATCCATGACGTATATCTTATGTATATTCCTGGATGTCCATAATATATCCATGACATATATCAAGTACATTAAAAAACTCGTAATATGGACATCCATAGTATATCTATGATGTATATTCCTGAATGTCCATAATATATCCATGGTATATATTATGTATATTAAAAAACCCGAAAATGGATATTCATAACATATTGTTAGGGTATGTAAGAAAAATCTTGAAAAACAAAAAAAAATATTTTTTAAAAATAAACAAACAAAAAAAGTATTTTTTTTTAATAAACAAAATAGAGATGACGCCTCTTGATTTTCCTAAAAATAAAAAAAATATAAATGCACTTCTCATTGAAAAAGAAATAAAAATAAATTCTTACCCATAGGGTAACTCCATTTATTAGCCACCAATGAGTGAACCTCATATACTCTAATTTTATTTATTTTTTAACTGCAAATAGACAAGGACGCAATAAGTGAAAAAAGCTCCCGTTTTCTTTTCCCCCCTAACACCTATTTATACAGGGCTACTCAAAAGTTACTATGCAGACCTAACTTTAAAAAATTGTGCTTCTTTTGCTAATAAAGCTATCGACATTAAACAAACTGTTAATTGTTAAGGAAATATTTCTCTTTTATACCTTATAGGACACATTTAGTTATTGATGGCCTAAATGGTCTTTGGGAATTTTTATAAATTCATATATTCTTAGAACAACTTGCCAGCAAAATTTTTTTGATATAGTTTGTTTCCAAAGATCTTACTCTATATAAAAGCAATAAAAACATTTTCATATAATGCCGGCTTACAGTTAAAAAAATATATTTGAAATTCATGTTTTCGAAAAATCACTATTTTCAGCCATTTCATGGTTTAAAAAGGCTATGTTTAAGTGAGTCGATTTAAACCAATTTATGCTTATCATCACAGGCACTTGTTAGTCTCCAATAATCATAAATAAAATAATTGTGGATTTTTCTTTTAGCTGGGCTGTGGATGTATATGTCCACCTGTGACTAAATCCATATATTAACCATATATTTCTAAAAAGCGTATTACACCTTTAAAATAACTCGACAGCCTTGAATTGACTTCTAAATCATTCTGAACATATAAAAACCACATACAGTGGCGTCAAAAATTAACTACCCATTTATTTATTTTTTAAATTAATAAAACATACCTACCTAATTAAATGTACAAAAAATTAATTAAATGACTAAAAGACATACTTATCATCAACTTTATATTTAGACAAAATAAAACTGCATATAGATAAATAAACTGAACAAGTCATATTCTTAACTTTTACAATCACCTAAAAAAACCTATTTACTATTTTTTACCTCTAAAAAATTATATGAATCGGAAAATTTTCTTATGTGTATAATGTCTTTCAAGAGGAATAAACTAACGCCTTTTGTCGTTTAAATGGATCGCAGCAGACTTGGTAAAATAATGTAGATACTTTAATTTGTGATACCTACGTACAAATATCGGTTACAGTTGCATCCACTCGCCTTTCTATTAAACCCTTTTCCTCCTTAGTACAAGATTCAATGGCGAAAAATATTTTTTATGGCATTTTTCATTAATTAATTTTCCAACGGAACAATCCATTTTTGGACACTTCAAACTATTTGACATTTTTAAATGACGTAAATTGGTAAAACTGTTAACATTTTAATAATTTATTATTTTGGTTTTTATGAATATGTAAAAATTTCAATATCTTAAAAATATTTTAATTATTAAAACAAAATCTTAAAAATTGTCTCTTAGGAATTAGAACTTAAGTGGAGAAAAAACGATTTTTTAAAGGATGGCTACACTGATAGAAAATTTCAGTAAAAAAATTAAAACTATAGTATACTATTATAGTATAATATACTATAATTATATACTATAGTTATAATTATTATTATTATATAAAAGTTATACAAAGTATGTCCATAAAATATCCATAAATGGATATACAATGTATATTATACATGAAAGAATGTATCAAATACATCCATTTATGGACATTTTATGGATATACATGAACGAATGTATCAAGTATATCAATTTTATGGATATACATGAAAAAATATATTCAGTATATCCATAAAATAGTCACAAATGGATATACATAAAAGAATATATCAAGTATATCCATAAAATATCCATATTCATAGCATGTTATGTGGGTAATATTGAAGAAAGTGTTATAATATGGATAATAGATGCTTTTAGTCCTTGATAACATTTAGGGCTGTAGTTTAAGCGTTGGTGTTTTAAATTAAACTTATAGCCACTGTCCAGAAAATGTTTATAGGAAACAGAAGCGGTCTTAACGTTAATATTGTCTATTCTTTTTGTGGCATTTAACCACTGTTTCCACAAATCAAAGTTTTTCGGGAATCGATTAAATTTAATGTTTTTATTTAAAGGGTTTTTCTTGGACTGGTTGTCTGAATTGCATCCAAATATGCCACACCTTATTTTTATAAATGCAAATGGTACAACATAAACTAAAACACAAACAAAACAAGTTAACGCAACACAAAAACAATAATTAACAAACAGAACAGGTTAACACAACGCAATAACAATAATTTAAACACTGAAAAGTAATTCGAACCTTACCGAAAGCAAAAACAACAAGTTAAACAAAAAATAGAGCAAGTTAACATCCAACAGCACCGCAAAAACAAGAATTTTAGCAGCAGATAAATAAAAAGCACGTTAAAGATTTAAAAACAATCATCAAGTGACGTGTTTAAGCCCCGCCCAACATGCGCACCATCCTATCTTAAGGTGTATGTATCTTGGTGGGATTGTAAAGCAGTTAGAGGAGGGGAAGTAAAACATTGGCGGACGTTTAATTGTTTTGATTTAATCGTTTTAAAATCTTGTTTTGCACGCTTATGGCAGAGGGGAAATAAGTATTTCGTTATCCTATTCGTTCAACAATGGTTGTTTGTCTCTCTTATTTATACGTTTATCTCACTTATTCGTACGTTTCATATAGCATGCATCTTTGTTTATTAAACGGCCTAAAAGCCCATTACCATCCCTGTATAATAAAAAATTATAACTATAGTATATAATTATAGTATATTATACTATAATAGTATACTATAGTTTTAATTTTTTTACTGAAATTTTTAAATTGTTGTCAATAATTGAATGAAGCAAATCGCTCGTGTATGGTGTCAGATAATGCTCACGTATGTCATTTCGGCTTGTACCGTGAATCTATCGCGTTTTTAAAGTCACATATTTT